AATGCACAGAGCTATGACAGAACACACCTTAAACACAAGAGTCATCTGAAGTACCTGCACTGACATAAGTTTCAAACAGTGAATTACCAAGACATTCAATTAAAATTACAAATGTACACAGGTTTTTTAATGCAAGCTTAGTACACTTATAGAAAGTTAGCAGCAAACAAGATTTCCAGGGGAAAGGAAAAGAATTCAGTAAAGACACTAGCACTAATTAAGTCAACCATCCCAGAGACAGCACATTGAATAAAGGGACATGTTACTTCCATAAGTAAATGTACTTATGACATTTTAGAATAGAATACCAACTTGAGAATGCACCATTTCACGGAGTTTTTCCTACAGTTTTGCTGCTAACCACCATGTGTTTGCCCATCAAGAGTAGCTATTTAAAGATTTTTTTTTTTAATCAACTATTCACTGGCACTTCTGTGATGTGTACAACTATACTGAGTGTCTCGTTAACATTAAATTAATTCGCACAACATCCCAGTGGGATAGGGAAGCATTATCCCCATTTTACAGATTGGGAAAACAGTAGCACAAAAAAGTTAAGCAACATTTCCAAGATCACACAGGTAGCTTATGACAGAATTTTAAATAAAACCTGATTCCTAGTCCTATACTTTAGTAGCATATCAGGAAAGATAGCTCTGCTACTTACATAATACCACATCACCTTTGAAAAAAAAAAATGAAATGTCAGACATAAGAACAGCCGTCACGGGTCAGACCAAAGGTCCATCTAGCCCAGTATCCTGTCTACCAACACTGGCCAATGCCAGGTGCCCCAGAGGGAGTGAACCTAACAGGTAATGATCAAGTGATCTCTCTCCTGCCATCCATCTCCATCCTCCGACAAACAGAGGCTAGGGACACCATTCCTTACCCGGTTGCATTAAAGGCCACTAGTAATTTCTGAATCCTACATTAAACATGAATAAATTTTTTACTCTAACACAAAGCTTCCCCATAATGACAGAAGTTACACAGACTTCTGAACAAGCCTTCAGACAGCAAGTACCAATGGGAAAAATTCTCCCCTCAGATCTACAGAGAATCTCAATTCTGATATTCCAGGCATGTAAGGAGATTAGACTATTCAAGTCAAAATCTGCTGTACAGATCTCAAAAGGAGAACTTGTCCCCCCATGATGAAACAGTGGGAGAGCATAAAACTCATTAGTAATAAAATCTTTCCTCTAGGAAATGACATGGAACCTTCTCCCTCACCCCTCTACATATACAGAATTTTAATTTCCAGCCATTTTTTCTTCCATATAGATAAAGAACATTTTTATGCTGATTAGGAGGCTAGTATAGACACTTTTGGATGCGCATACAAATTCTAATAAAAGTTTCATTACCAGAAGATAAAAACCTTTATAAATCAACAAACAATGCACCCTGCCACTAGAGTACACACACACTTTCCCTAAACATGAATTCCTACACAGAAACACTATCTATGGCCTGATCCTGCAAACACTTATGCACATGACTTTACATGTAGGAACATCTCCACTGAACTGGATGGGGCTTACATGTCTAAGCATAGGATCAGGAACTGCGTGCACCATACAATACTTATTGTGCAAGAAGGTGAATCATCAAATTAAATATTGTAGATTAACATTTGTGATTGGTGACTCAGAAGCCACTTGATATCTCTACATAGACTTGCCATGCAACAAAAAAAGTTTGGCTTAAGCTTGCCACAGTCTTAAATTTGTATTTTAAAAAGCATCAGCATACTATTTTGAAGCATTGGTTTTTGGTACTGCATACTGCAAGACAGAATGTAATAAAGTACTGTATTATCAGCTGTTATAAACACACTGGATTTCTAGTCACCTATTGTTGCCAGCCACTTTCATGTTGTGGAGAAAAAAGGTACCATGTAAAACCTTTTAAAAGTTCAGCAGCTTTTTTCAGTACAATAATCAAATACTCAAACTCTCTGGCAGTTTACCATTTCAACAGCAACATATAATGAAGTAATATTTCAAATCACAATAGGCTTCATGTCTGATGAGCACAAGTTTTGCAAATCCAGGTCAATCCCTGTCATACTGACCACCTCTCTCTACATGATGGACCCAAATACACCTAATGAACAAGTCTTTATCTGTTTACAGTTTGTTCTGTTAAATGAACATCTCCTTATAACTTTTAAAGCTCTGTACCTTCTTTAACAGACTGCTGTGTGAACTCTATATTCATAGTTGAAGTAACTCCCTATGATGATCTTCTCTGAATTCCTTTGTGCTGTTGCTGACATTTTAACTGATTTTGGTATTTTTCATTATGCAAATTAAATTTCTGTACATCCTTACTTCTCTAGTGAATATTCTGCAGAAACTGAATAAGTTAGAATCTGCAATTCCACTGGCAAAGATATAACTACAGCCACAAGAGCTATTAAACAATCATTTAGGATATAAATTAATCCTCAAATGAGGATTTTTTCCTGAACCCAACAGTACACGAATTGCGTAATTAGGGACATTAAGAGAGAGGAGAGGAAATGTCATTTATTTAGGCCATGTCTGCACTGCCACTTGGGCAAAACTTATGTCACTCAGGGATGTGAAAAAACACACACCCCTGATACACATAGCATAAGCACTCACGTGCACAGCGCTATGTCAGCGGGAGAGCTTCTCTCGACATAGCTACTGCCACTCTTGGTTTTATTATGTCGAGGGAAGAGCTCTCTCCTGTCAGCATAAAGTGGCTACAAAAGTGATTTTACAGCAGTGCAACTGCATCAATACAGCTGTACCACTGTAAATTCACTAGTGTAGATACAGTCTTTGCCTAGAGGATCAAATGTAGCAAGAGACAGGATACTTACTACAAACCATTTCTGAAATGGTAACTTTTGTGTTCCTAAACCTTAAGACTGTGTTCTGTAGAACAATTACTAAGAATTCTCAAGAAAACGTAACATTAAAAGAGATCGCATCTTGAATTAAAGTATTAGGATACTGTAAAGGGAACAGAGGAACTGAAAGAATTAAGTTTGATTTCTGAAGCAATATGTGGAAAGAGCTGCTTGACTAACTCAAAAAGCCTGGGCATAATACCCAGCAGAAAATGTTAATCTGTGTGCAAGGTGACCCTAGGGTCATGCTATTCCTTTCCCCTTTGGTCCCATCTCCCCAACAGGACCCTGAAATTGAGGGGGGCTGTTTGCTTTTAAACTGGAAAAAAGAATTTAGCAGTTGCTTCACTAGTCTGTGAATACTGCTGATCTATAAAAAACAAACTTGTAAGAAAAAAAATAAGCTGAAGTTGTTCATAATGTGAAAACACGAGCAAAACATATTTCACACACTAGCAAACCACTTTTGTTCCTTATTTATTATGCAGAGCTTCCAAGAATATTAAATATTTGTATTTTTTTCCCCACATCTAAGGCAGAACTACAACATTGGTAGGCACACTTCAACAATTCACCTAAAACGATGCAGATGTTGCCCTTTAAATATTAAAAATAATATTTCAAATACAATTTGAAACATTCATCCCTTACAAATGGTACTCAAAGAACTGGCAAGAGAGAAAGAATAAGAGAAAAAACAAGGAAAATACCTAACAACCGCTTTAATGAATACTTCACTACTACTTCTAAAATACTGCCGGTGCTATTACTAAACAGCATTTACTAAACAATACTCTATGTTAATAATCTACTAACGTGTTTCTGACCATATTATCCAAGTTCATAGAAGCTAATCTGTTTCCTAAATAGCAAAAGCATTCCTTTCAATAAAAGGAGCAGCTGATACAGAACAAAAGACGTCCACAGGAAATGTTATCTATAAAGTTGTCTCCTAATCCAAGACAAATAGACGCGAAGGAACAGGAAAACGACCATGCACTAGTAAGTTTCTTTTTCCTGAGCCTCTGACAACATCCCCTTGTTCGATTGGTTGTGTGCCCTTTTCAAGCTACAAGGGATGGCATTCCTCCTTCACTTAACACCATCGAACTGTGTGCGTTGAGGGGGCAGGAAGTAAACGGGGGCGGCGGCGGGGGTGTGGGGGGAAGGAGAGGCAAGAGGAAGGAAAGAAACAGAGATCCAAAATCCAATAATCATTACTAAGGCATTACAGGGCACTACACTGCCTGCAGGCTGCAATAGTAGCCTCCCTTTCTCTATGTCATGTATGGAGATTCCTAGACATTACAGACAGACATGCATACAGATCCTTTCTAAGGGCGATGGCTTTGATTTATGTCCACAAGACCAGAAACAAGCAGGGTATATCAGACACCAGGGAGGTGTCTCCCAATGCCCTCCATTGCATCTGCTCGCTTTCCCCACAAAAACGCAACTCCAAATAAACGAATAAAAGCAAGATTTTAAGAACTATTTTAAGATATTTTAACAGACCTGACGAATTACCCCAGGCGCCGCAACACCCACCGAAACGTTGTCTCTCTGCGCCAGACAGACCCATTCACACCAGCCCGGCACAGGAACGCCTGCCCCGGCGGCGGCGGCTGCAGGGCCCCCAGCGCCCGCAGCATAAGCCCAGCTCACCCTGGGTCTCCCCGCTCACCCTCGCCGGGAGCCAGGTGTGCGTGTCACCGGCACACCCCAGAGACAGCGGCCAACCCCGGCCCCGGAGCCACACACACGGACCTGGGCGCTTCCCGACACGTTCGCTCCCGGGGCCAGCCCCGCTCCGGCTCCCAGCCCCGCCGACAGCGCCGGGCTGCTCCTGGGGGCCGGGGGCGGCAGGGCAGCTCCGCTGGGGGGCGGAGGGGCCGGGCGGGGAGCGCAGACAGGCGAGGGCGAGGGCGGGGGCTGGAGCGGGGGCACAGGCGGGGGGGGGGCACGGACAGACAGAGCGGGAAGAGGTCGGACACACCGACAGACAGAGCCGGGCGGGGGGAGGCAGGAGCCGGGTCCCCCCCGTGTGCCCCGCTCGCTCTCTCCTTGCCAGGGTGACCCTTCGCCGGGCCCCGGCCGCGCGCCCCCTCACCTCATATCTGTGCGGGCCGGGGGGCCCTGGTCAGATCCACGGCGAAGGCGGGGGGCGGTGGAGGAGCCGGAGCGGCCACCGCCTCCGCGATACACACCATCCCCTCCCGCTGCCTGCTGAGCCACCCGTCGGGGGGGGGGGCGGGGAGGCGTATCACCCTCGCTCTCACAGCCACCGTACTACTGCGCAACCAACCTACTCCCTTCGCCTCCCACCCCCGGCACACCCCAGTTACAACCCGCCCCTCTCAGCAGATTGACGCAAATACTGACCAATCGTAATGCGAAGATTGACACCAAGACAAAGGCTACCCGTAGCGTATAGGGCAGAGCAACCAATCATAAAAACCCCCCCCCTATCAGGTTAGTGTGTACAGGACACAGGGTTGCATGACCTCCCCCCTACTAACAAGGCTAGCGGGGATCTCTCTTTTTGTTTCGTGGGTAAATTAGGGGACCAATCAGACGCGCTCCCAAGGGGAGAGGAGGTGGGGCCAAGAGTGGGCAGGGCTCTGTCAGTTTGCATGAATGGAACCCTAAGAGGCGGCACTGGTCTTTAATCCGCAGACATGTCCCCGCGCTCGCGCTGCAGTGCCAGCACCTTCGAGCAGCAAACCGACAACTGAGGAGGGCCCGCGTTTCATGCTGGGAGTTGTAGTCCGATCGGAGCCGCAAGGCCTGCTGGGAGTAGTGGTCTCGCGGATGCTGCCTAGGTGCTTTGGATACCGCTCGCGGCGTGGCCCCACCCCGTTCACCTAGAGTGACCAATCGCGAGTCTCTCCTGCTGACCAGTCTCGGAGTGGCCGCGGAAGCTAGGGTCAGAGCGCGGGGCCTGCACAGCGGTCCTTGCAGGAGCTGGAGAGGGGGCTGCGGAGGTGAGAGCGACGGAAGTCACTCACGATTTGCCATGGCAACCGGGGTCTGCCTCGGGCCCGGGGGTCGCTGCCCCAAGCGGGGAGTGAGATCCGGCCCTGTCTGTGCCACCCCCCCCCGGCGGCGCCAGCCCCGCAGCGCCATTAACCCCCCCTACGGCGCCAGCCCGTCCCCCGCTCTCGCTCGCGTCCTTGTTTTGTTGAGACCCGGCATCGCCCCACCACGTTCAAAAATCATGACTCGGACCCGCCCCCCCCCCATCAGGGGACTTGCTTAACCCTCCCCCCCCCCCACCGCAGTTCTAGACCCCAACAAACACCAGGGGGGGTTCCGGGTCGTCAGATTCCCTGCTTTCTGGCTTTCCTTGAGGGCTGCGAGCAGTGGGAAATTTACTTTTAAAAAACCGGAGGCTGAGATTCTGCTATAATCCCGTGATTCCAGGAGCTGGGGCTTTATGTAAGACACCAAGTGTCACCAGAGCTGCAACACTGGACGAGTGGTGTCCCTTAAACCAGGAAACACAACACCACTGACAATCCAGTTTTAATAATAAAGGTAACCTAACACTGAAATTGGTATGTTTTGACAGTATTTATCATTAAATCATTGCACTGACTAAGGGCCTTATCTTGGGAATACTAGTACACTTAAATAACTGTACATGTGAGGAGTCCCATTGAGTTCAAAGCTTTTTTTACTTGTCGTGAAGATATGTGTGTGATTTCATTGGGGCTCTGCACAAGCACAGCAGAATTCCTGTTTGCAATGAATTGTGGAATTGGGGCAGTTGTGTATAGTCTGAAAAAAAAATGTGCTTATCATAAATAATTCTCCCAAACATGAGAAGGTCTTTCCCTCTGACATATAGGATCCAGTCTGTGCGAGAGAGAAACAAATCTTTGTCCTATGTTTCTCTCCTCCTTTCCACTCAAGACAACACATTTCACCAAAAGAATGAGAAAACTTTCACCTGTTCAATCAAGGTAAAAGGTATTTCAGTGCATCCACACTATGAAAAAGGTTGTGGTTAGATCAGTTAACACACACTGACCTCACTTCAACCCATATTTCTAGTATAGGCAAGCTTGATGTTTTCAAAACTTGCACTAGAACTGTTGTTCTGTACATTGTATTTGCACGAGTTAAAAACTGATCCTGCACTCATTGAATTCAGTAGCAAACTTACCATTTTACCATTAACTTCATTGGGAGCAGGGTTATTTTCTAATCCTCCTGTGTATCTTAAACGTTTGCTCTAGATGAACAAAGATGCTTAAAGTCTTCGCTACTAAATCAATTTACAAGTGCTACATATATTACAATTTGGTTATTTTAGATTCCTCTGTATGCTCTTTCAGGACACTATGAAGGCTCTGTATTGTCAGCAGAATTCAGCTGGAGAGGAAATTGCATTTGTCTTCCAGGAAAGGGTGAGTTCAGATTACAGAAGAACTGTTAATCATGTGCTGAGAGAAGGGAATATGTTCCTGTGTGGATCAATTATTAAGCATCTTTCATCTGTTTTACTTTCTCACGGCTATGTTCTCATATCTGCATGTAAAACGATCCAAGTGTCAAAATGAAACTATTTATCTTAGATAAGAATCGTCAATCTACTGCATTGGGTTAGTAGTGGTGAACCATATTAGCTGAGGCACCTGGACAGAGGGATGTGGTGGGAGGGATGGTTGTAGTGTAAATAAAAATTAAAAAAGCAACTAACAACATATATACTATTTTGCTTCTATGTTATTTGTCTGCTTGTCCTTTTAGATTTTAAGCTCTTCAGAATGTGGGCTATCTCTGTATATGTTTGTACAGCACCTACTACAGTGGAGTTCTGGTCCTGACTGGGGTCTTTAAACACTATTATAATTAAATAATCATTTTAAAAAGTAAAACTTCTGTGGGAAAGGAAAGACAGTCTCTATCTAAACAGACCGCCACCTAGTGAGGATATCTTGGGGGAGCACAGAGGGATGTCAGGTGCAGTGGTGGATCAGCCACTGGGCTGATGGGGCCTGTTCCTGGGGCCCGGGAAAAAATTTGCCACCGAGTGATGGAAGCCTGGAGCCCCTGAGCCTCGACCTCACTCCCTGACAGCAGTGCAAGGTGGGTGTGGCAGGGGAAGCCCCCAGAAACCTCCTGGATCCCAACCTTGGCGGAAGCCGCAAGGCGGCAGAGGAAGCTCCCAGCACCCCCTGACTCTGTCCCCGGCAGAAGCTGTAGGGCAGCGGGGAATCCCCCGGTCCCGACCCCACTCTCTGGCAGAAGTGCAGGGCAGGTGGGGTGGGAGAAGCCCCAGTGCCCCGACCGTGGTCTCCTGCAGAAGCGTGGGGGGTGGCAGGGGAAGCCCCAGCACCCAGACCCCCCGCTGTGGCCCAGGACTGGAGGAGCTCTCGCTACCTGTCATGACCTCAGGGCTGAGGGAGCTCTCACTTCCCACTGCAGCTCCAGGGACAGAGCTGCTCTGGTCTTGAGGACCCAGTGGGGGGGCACAGAAGGGAGCAAACATGTTGGGAGGCTGCTGTGAGCGGGGGGCAGAATGGGGGTGAGTCCCTGGGTGGAACGGGACCGTGCCCGGGGAATGGACAGAAAGGGATGAGGCCATGGCCAGGACCACAGGCAGAAGGGACGGAATGAGTGAGGAGGGGCCTGCCACTTGCTCTGGCCCAGGGCTCCAGGAAACCTTAATTCACCCCTGGTCAGGAGCCTCAAGAGAGGTAGCATGGATGAAAGTGGAGGTACCTTTATGGAGATAACAGGCCGCCATTGGCCTTCACCCCATGATCTTGTTGTCTCCAAATAATGAATGAGGAAGAGCGCCAGGATCAGCCTCCCCACAGAGGCACACACCACCTTATCTGTTTCTTGTTCTTATGAGAGAGTGGTATGTTTTCTAAATCTCTATAAAAACTACATTGTTTGTATTGGGGTAGTGACCCCATTGGGCTAGGCACACCTAACTGAAAGACAGACCCTGCCCCAAAAGTTTACAGGCTAAGTTTAGTATATTTTTAAATATAAATTTGCTTTATTTGGAAACCCTTTGGCTTCAGAAAAAGTTATGATTGTTTAATTGAGTTAGAGTATCTTTTTTGAACAGTCTCGTGGCTTAGCAGTAGTTCTCTGCACATCAAAGAGGTTGTTGAGCTGGCATCTTCCTCCCCCAGATTAGCAAAAAGCCTTGCAATTTGGAGCTGTGGGATGATCTTGAGTAACTAAGCAAGAGCCAGAGAAAGTTCAGCTCAGTCTTCGTCAGAAAAAAAGTTGTTGGTCAGT